CAGGCGTGATTACTTTGATATATTTTTCAAAACAAAATCCTATTTATTTTAAATTATTACTCACAGCTTTAAATTAATGTGGTCACCTAGTAGACACCGGTCAGAAGGATACATTACATTAAGCAATGTCTGCATTGGGACTAGACAAAACTGATTCGCAGGGACGTCGTTACCAACAAGAAAATAGTTCTGCATTAATATAGCACGAGAATACAGAGGTATGCCCTGTTGATGGATATGAGAAGGAAGTAACTGTTTTTATACAAACAATTGATACGTATAACCAATTATAGTAGACCGTATTGACAGGAATAGCCTTTGATATCCTGGTCTGAGTGATAGATGCAGTGCTACAGATTTACACCAAATGTAGGATTTTGGGATTAATTGTTCTTGCAGCTCTTAAGCGGCAATTCAAGTCGCGTATGCATTTTTGTTAGATGATACCTAGTTGGTACATGGTGTGTCAAATCCATCCTATACTATATTGTAGGACAATACCTTTAGTAATCCTGTATAAATTACTACGTAACGTAACGTTCATATTGTAATAGGGGAGTTCCGTTGAGGGTGTGCATATGTTGTCACGCCGATAACCCGTGTCTTGATCGTATAGTTTGGGTTATTACGGGTTAACAACCACCACTGCATCCCTATCTAGATTCGTCAGGTAGCAGACCTGATTTCAATACAGGATCGTACACTGGATGCACTCCTGCTCCCCCACCAAACAGCCTAGCAGATGTTGAGTATCTGTTTATCTCAAACATACACTGAACGAAAAGCCCACCCTTGATAATGGTGAATAACACAGAAAGTGACAGGTCCTTGTCTGTTAATCATAAACATCAATCATACTTAACAAAGTAAACAAATGTGAGAAGTCAACAACCGAACTTCACACACAATAAATGTTTATGTAACACACGTATAGAAAAGAGTTTAAAAATGGTTGAATATTGATTATCACTGGTGGTCCTTTCGTTACGTTTTCGAGTTCTTATTGTCATTTTATAATATCTTTGTGCATGAAAAAAAATCGCACGCACATATAGGACAGTAGGGGTGGTATCAGTTTTCTTAAAATTAGTATACAGATATATAAGTGGATTGAGGAAACTAACGTCATCGCCATTGAACGCTGCGGTCGTTTAAAAGTCTTTTCAAACATTCTTAAGCTGCCAAATTTACCTTGCATGATTGTTTACTGCACCGTATTGATTTAGGACGTAATGTACTTATGGATCTGTTTGCTTTGAAAACCTTGTGCGGTAAAGGACATTAGGTCATAAGAAACACACCACTCAAATATGGTATCCCATGGAAGTTGAATAATATTGATATAGAAATGCTATATGCTATATATGTGGACGATGTAACGTTCAATGATTGTAAATGAATAGAGACACATACATGTGATCACATGAATAGTACCACAAACTGCTGTAGAAAGGGGTCGATTTGTTGAGTGAGTGAATTTATTAAACTGTTATACAGGTAAGTGTATTACATATTCACTATTGAGTTCTAAAACTTTCATACTTTAATACCATGATCATTTAAAACCAAGCATCTGTAATTCCGGATTTCTGACAGATTTTTAAAAAAAAAATCGGTAATATGTTTGTCTAAAATCGTATGAGCAAATTAACGTATACATGTTGTTGTGATTAGAACCTGGCAAAGATATAATCATTATAGCATTAAGAATTTATAAAATGATGTTTATACAACACTTTATCACTTTTTACATTAGGGTTATGTTTCTAAATAAATCCATTACTAATCATTAAAGCTAAATGTCTAAATGGAAAATAGTTTGATAAATATTATCGAATTCTCAATTTCATTTTATGTTTAGTTTTCACACATAGAAAATGATTAACTTTTGAACTGTACATTTAATAGCGCTGTTATTATTACAAAGCTAATCACAATGCGTTAAGTCATACATAGTGTTATTGGTTGGTGTTTCTCACATAAAACTGTCAATCATATTTAATTGCCACAAACAAGGAGAAACAAAAAAAAAAATTGTAAAAAAAATAAATAATATGTGATCAAATTGATCGTTAATTGTTAAAAAAAACACGTTTCTAAAAGAATAAATAAATGAACCCATATGATTGACCGAAAACTAACCCAAAAGGTACCTTTAACTTTACTCTGACAAAATGTGAATATAACCGTTTTGATGTTCTTGAACGTTAATCCGCACAGCATGATACTTTTATGGAAGTGATAGTCGATATTTTAAGCTTTCTTGGAACTTTTTTGTATGTGTCAAATATATGATGGCATCCTCATGTCATTGACATATAACGAGTTACGTATGTCGAACAGTTTCAAGAGATGTCGACACAATCTATGCATATAAATCTATACTTTAAATTATGGCAACATGCTGTCCTTTTCAAGAGACAATTTTGACACGAAATTGATCACATAAGTACGTATCTCGGCTTTTCATAGATTTGATCGATCTTGACATCGATATGGCATTTATATATGCAAAAAAAACAAGAAGTTTATGAAAGCAATTGTTTTTTAAGGGGAATATATCATGTGATGTACTTGTAGCTTATGGTGATTATGTGTACTCTCCGTTTTTTGTGTTTTAGGCTTCATATATCGGTAACATTTACTCAATACATAAGTGTCAAAGTGATGTCAAAGTGATGTCAAAGTGATATTAAAGTGATGTCAAAGTGATGTCAAAGTGATGTCAAAACGGTAAATAGCAGAATTGCCAATATACATGATAAATGAATGAGTACGATAATCTCGGAAAAAAACGATTTCGACAGACGTAACTTTTTGTTATCAGTGACGGAAATATTACTTCCTACAAACCTATAACAATATCTTAATCATTATTACTTTAATATACTGTCTACATCAAAACTTGTCTTAAATGATATTTTGTATAATGATCCATCATCATTATTTTAACTACTTTGAAGTTTAAGTTTCAACTTATTGAACCAGTGTATTGATATATGCAGGCAAATACAAATGTCGTATATGGCAGGTGGTGGTAAATTTCATTAGTATTCCAGGTTTTTTTTTTGCCATCACGCCAATAAATAAACATTGCTTAGTTTTCAATCCTTACGGGTAAACGTTTTAAATGTTTGTATAATGAAATAGAGGAATATATACAGATATAAAGATTGTGACGTGATTGAAAACTTCCTTATTCTTCAACGGCGTGTTCAAAATTGAAAGAGAAATACGATTTGACTAGATAATCTCTTGCCCTGTGTAGGGTAGGTTCCAGTCGAGCAGGGCAATTAAATATTTTTTACATATTTGTTTAACTAGTTCTTCACATATGAGTGAATGTGTTAGCATTGTATGACGGTGTCTTACTTTAGATACAGGCAAGCCCTTTTATATGTTGAAGCTTTGTTAGCTTCATTCTAAACACATTTGTGTTTAAAATATAATTATAGTAAATGGCATATGCAGAGAAAAAAATGTTTTAATTATATCATCTGATAATGTAACGTGACCCAATCGTACATTTTAAAAAACAGTACAGTTTTTTTTATAAATCTAAACTGTCAAAAACATTTTGCTCATACTTAACATATTCGTACATCAAGGTAACCGCCACCATGCCATAAAATCATCGTTTATATGACATTTTTTCCAGATAAAAAAGACAAAAATTATAACAAAGATATTCTCAGAAACCTGACAAGAATTATGGACCATTTTTTCACAGTTTTTGTCAATTTTAACATGGCTAGAACATGTTTGGAATATCACTCTATGTTTGCTTGTATAAAAATAAAGGTGTTTACCAGCATTTGCATCAAATAATGTGCGTTTTTGGCACAATAACTAAAGTATACGAGGACTTCGCAGCTAAAACGAAACACTCCAGAAACAAGTGCATATTTGTCGACTGTAGTTAATATTGTATTTTTTATTTCTTTTTATAATTATTGCAATCTGCCATGACTAATACATATAAACAAAATGTTTCATAATTGTGATATGGTGGACCATTCTAGTTAATACTAATAGCCAAAATTTAAGTCAATTTAACAGGATGTTCATATTAGTTACAATGAAAAACACAAAAATACATTATTATACTTTTGTATTGATTTGTCTTTGAGCTAGACCCTGAATAAACATACAAACACACAATCAACATAATGCGCGCTAGCGCATTATGAGTTGTTTGCTTGAAAAGCTGTGTCATTCAAATAGATCATAAATACCATACTAAAACAGTTCAATACTTATATTTACGTTTTCTCTGCCTCTTATGTTCGTTTTTAACTTATAATTCATATTTAAAATTAAAAATGCCCGCCTTATCGACAGTCCACACAATTTCGTTCAATAGTTTGAACAGCGTATTGTCGCGTGCTGATTGGCGAACAAAGTAGTACTTTGAAATTT